AAACGAACTTTATACGGGGTGCCTATTGCGGATGGGATCGGGTCGAGGGCTAGTTAAGAACGTATAGGTCGAGGGCGATCGCCTCACTCGTCAGTTTGTATTCGAGTCGCGGAGTCGGGCGCGATTGGCTTGTGCCACGATAGCCGCTTTGCGCGCTTAATCTGGCTAGCAAACCGCCCCGACCAGACCCGATCCCGGGCGCGTGCACACACAAAACTGAATGCTTGCAGTTGCAGCCGGGGGTAAAAAACAAAACAAAACAACAACAACACATCAACTCAAGTGTTTTTACGTTTGAGTTGAACTTAACACAATTGTTTGATATTAACATGTAAAGATCAAGGGTTGGAGTTGGGACCTGAGAAAAAGATCAGCTTCACCAAAGATCAACTCAAGCCAGTTTAACACAAGTGGAGTTGACTTTTGTTCCATCTGGTCACTTTCGGTCGCGATTTTCTTACTGCCAATCATATATCTTTCCCACCGTAGGATTCTTTGATCTAAACGACACCAAAAAATGAAGCAACCCACCCGTTCTCACGCCGCAATTACGAACAGTGGAACACTTTCCTAGATCGCTTAGCCTTAAGTCAATCGGGCGGCCGGGCGGGATTTGGAATAGATCAAAGGAGTTTACAGTTCTGAACTCCTTGAATAGATCGCGCCTAGCGAAGTAGACCTTTCACCTAAAGGGGCACCTAGGCTAATAATCTGTCCTTTATTTTTTAATGAAATTTTGGAATTTCGAGTCCGCAATGGACTAGGCTACCTGCTCAGAAACATGACATTATCAACTGCCAAGAAATAATAATAAAATATTGTTCGCCGTTGTCCTGTTCGAGCTCAGTTTTGTACTTAATCTAGCGTCTGCGTCCGCGGCCGCGACCCGCGAATGGCGCCGAGATTTTTGGCAGTTTTTGGTCCGCGATTTTTGCACTATTCCAACAAAACACCACCGCCGGGAAGAAAAAATTATTTAAAAACAGCAACAAAAACTGGGAATAATATTCGTGAAAAAAAAAGAAACCAAACCTGCTTACTTTTAGAAAGAAAGTTTATTTTCACTTTCGCTTCACTTCGTCTCTTTCTCACTTGTTAACACACGTTGATTTGTAATGTTCAAGTGAAGAATGTAAGTAGGCTACATTACTTGCATACTATTTATATTGCTGTTTCTTTTTCTTCATGTTTCCCTCTTTGTTGTGTTTTATTTTGTTGGTGTGTTAATTTTTTTTCACGTTATTGTTCTGATGTGTTGTTTTTCCATATTTGTGCGTGTGTTTAGAAAGCGAAATGTTCTTCCTACCCTTTAAAAAAAATGTGTTATAGTTATGTTACAGCGTGTCTCCACCAAAAACGAATACTTACACTGGCAAGCCTCTTGTGTGTGATTCCACGATCTAGATCTACATGTTAGATCCTGTACTTTTTCTTGAATTTCACGCGTTTAGGGTTAAAACGGCCAGATGGATGGGTTGACATACTCCCTTATATTTGTTAATTTTTGTGGTTGTTTATTTGCTGTTCTAATTTTAATTTCATTCTGTAGTGAAACCTTTATTTTTCACGTTTTCACACTGTTTGTGGGTGGTTGGCGGGTGCTCGGTTGTGTTTTAAGCTTTTTCTTTCCTATGAAACATAAATCGTCCTTATCTCCCCTTCTTCTTTTTTATGTCTGTTACTCTCTTGTAACACCTATAATCTTCTGGCGCTCATAAGACCGTATGCAGTTGCGACGAGCGCCGTAAAATCTCTTCTAAAACTAAGCACTCTGTGTGGCTGCAAATTATACTCTGGATGCTTAAAACAGAGCACAAGAAATTCTGGTGTTTTAATTAGTTATCTCTATCACTCAACATATTTGGCAACTTTTTGAGCAACTTTTGCCAATTTTGTTGCAACTTTTGGACAAAAAAATGGCAAACAAACGCAGGTGCTAGCTCAATATTTTTGTGCGGTCCTCAGCCTGTTTGTGATACCGGTAAGAAAAAAAAAGGTTTTATACATTGACATATTTATGATGCAATCTTGTCAAAAATACTTCTTTCTTTTTTTGTCACCTTAAAAGTTCTTCATTTTGATACCCTGGTTCCGAAGTACCTAGATATATCATTTTTAACTACATAATGTATTGTATGTAGTTTTCAAAAAGTTTATGATATAAACGAGAATTTTATCACTCGCAGGCGGCAGCGTCATGCAGCCGGACGCACAAAACTCATACATCAGGCCGTGCCAGATTGTTGTTGCGGGTGGCCGACCAAACAATTTGCTGGCAGCTGTAGGGGCTCTTGTGGTCAAGAGGTTACGGTGTTTGTCTCTCATTTAGAAGGTCCCAGGTTCGAATCCGAAAAGCGGCGGAAAATGTTCTGTCGTCTGCTTTCGTACCCACTTTCTGCCCCCACCCCCTCACCTTTGCCCCCTCCTCTGGGCTCCAGACACCTTCTGCAGCCTACTGCTACTCCTTGGCTCCTGCTGCTGTCTTTCAGCCATGCCCCTGATCTAAGAGTAGGTAAGATCATCTATATATACACCTAACCTCGGACAAGGGCGAAAAATATCGGAGGTCCCGTGTGCAAGTTACACACGGTAAAGATCCCTTGGGGGTCCAAAATCGATAAGGAGTAGGCTTCGGCAGCCACCCCGACAAAATTCAATATTTTCTATTTACTGAAAATGTTTAATGTAAAACACTTAACAACAACAACAACCCCCTCCCCCCAAACCACCCCCCCCCCCCCTAAAACAACAACAACAACCCCCCCCCCCCCAAAACAACAACAACAACAACAAACAAAAAGAAAAACAAAATAAAAACACCAACTTTAACCGACCTTCCACGCATAGGCCCTAAGCTCTGCCTCTAACAATAACATTTTCGTTTAAAAACTAACTGAAACTACGTCATGTCACAAAAATAATACCCAATTCGGAACCTGTGATCAAAATTAGCAATGTGAATTTGTCGCACGCAGAGTTTGATCTCAAAGTTCGATCTGTCGCACGCATTGCAGAGTTTGATCCCCGAGTTTGATTCTCGAGTGTTCAGATTTTTTTAAAAATCGAATACCGCTCCTCAGTCACACGGTCTCTTTGCCGGCTGCCGGATAATGGAGTGTTGTGTATCCCTCTTAATCCAAGTTAAGCCCTTATAAGGGACCTTAGAATAATTAACCAGTAGGCATAATGTTATTGGTGGCATCGCTTCCCCGTATTTTGTCATTATTTTGATGTTTTTGCAGGTTTGATTTTTTTCTCGAAAACATAATTATTATATATTATCTAAAAGGCAGGCATGACAAAGGTTAAAGTGGTGTGTGTTGTTCTGCAATAAGAAATTAAACAATTTAGATCTAGCCCCAAAACAGTGCATCTGCGTACGGGTCTGAAAGTAAAATACCAATTAAAAATCTCTTAGGCTGGCTCTGGAGGGCAGAAAACTGCAGCATGCCTCCCAAATGAACTACATAATTATTGTAAAAAACACTCACATGATGTACATAAAAAAAATAGATGGTTATTGACACGAACATTTAATAATCAAATTCATGAGAATTGCAGTTGACATTGAAACGATCAATAGTTTCAACTTATGTAAATTTTCCATGCTGACCCCCCCAAAAAAAACACACACAAAAACAACACAAAACAAAACAAAACAACAACAACAACAAAAGAAACCCCCAAAAGAACCATTTTTCTTTATACACTATAACCTACCTAGACCTTAACAAATCGGTACAACTGACACTCCCCCACCCACACTACTCACTCATAATAATCACATCTACAACTACAAGGCTATTATTATTAGTCTGGCTTCAACTTCTCAAGTAATGAAGTTGCCACCCACCACTGGTAATAGCAAAGATAGTACATAACAAGATGGGCCACTCAGCCAAAAAAGTGTCCGCAGGAAGTGCGCTCTTTGCTTCAGATGGCGCTGCAGTCTGTTTTGAAGCTCTCTTTCGTTTTTCCAGAAGAAGAATAGGAATAGCACCCCCTGCGTGCGCAGATCGACTGCTGTTCATCAGCAGTTCAAGTTCGTTCAGTGTGGAGTTTTAGTTTTTTAAAATTTTAATGACCTCTCGCCTTTCATTCTAAAGTCAAATTAAACGAAGAAAACAATCACCCTTTCCTCCGGAAGAGGTTTTTTGCCAGCGTAATCATTTAAAATTTCGAAATTTATCCCAAAACTTGCTAGTTTCACTTTGATTTTTAAAACTCAAGTAGGGTAACTCTGTTCGCAAAAGGTGCACTTTTGTGAAGAGGGCGCCACCACATTTTGAGGATACTTTTTTAATTGGCTCAAAGAGAGAAGTGGCCCCTCTTGTTATGTAGACTCTTTGGTAATAGTAATACAGTCATGTACTTCCGGGAGTCCGGGAGGTAGGCCCACCAGAGAGTTTACAGTAATACTATTAGATCTACTGTAAACCCTCTCTGGGCCTACTCTTGTCTACATTCACCGAACTCCGGTGAAAGATTTTAAGTCACCCACCAGCGATAAAATTATGCCTGTTGCCTGTTGCAGCAATGGTGGTAGAAGAACCAAAACATAAAAGCGGCAAATGTGAAAATGCAGAAATTGTATCTCACGTTAAACTGTGAACGTGGGCGAAATTCTATATTATCCACCTAATCGGAGGTAAGTGAAACAGGTATCAGTGCTAGATCTAATCTACGAGAAATGAACGAGTTATGACGAATATTGTCTCAAAACTCACCAAAGAACGTCCCGTATTTTGTTTTTTAAAAATAAAGTGTACCAAAAATTAATTGATTAAAAAATCCGTAACTTTTTTGTTTATTGATGGATTTCAAAAATTCAAAAAGTTCCATGCTCTGTCAAGATAGGGCTACAAAATGCACCTATTTGCAAACACTTTCTGGCAAAAAAGGTTTTTCGTGGTCATTGCTAGTATGTTTTTAACTCATTCGCTACGTATTATTTTCGGCTTGTGGACGAATTTTTTTCGGGAGGGCGAAATGAGATGATGACTAGTGGGCAGTTAAAAGGTCTTTGGGGCCACAAATTCAAATAAATATCAATGTATTATACCAATATTTTCAGTATGGTTTGTAGAATACATCTCTCTGTAATGTTTATTTATGTATTTTTCAACTTTTGTTCCTTTGCGCTTTTTCGGTAGTTCCCACCCCCCTTATTTGATAGAGCCTGACCTACATCTAGATCTATATACGTTTGATTCGCGGCAAGCTAAGATGTCAAACCTAACAACTGCAAAACATTAAATTGTGGTAAAATTCAGGGGGGCATGCCCCCCTGAAACCCCCTACCTTGTTTTTATTCGGTCAGGGGGGCAAGCCCCCCTGAAACCCCCCTACTCTTGGCTTGGGGCCAAAACCGGCGAATAACAAATGCGGGGTGGGAACTACCGAAAAAGCGCCTGTTCCTGTAAGAGGCGATTATGCAACGCAATTTTGATAGGATGCGGATAAAATTTGAAAATAAAAAAATTTATAATCTTTGGAGAAACTCAAAAAATATGTTTGCACCTAGTCAAATGATACATCAAAATAACCATAAATGAATATAGAATTGGAAAATATTGAAAAGTTTGCTGTTATTTACATACATTCCATAATATTTGTACATGTGGATCATAACATCCGATATATTGAAAAAAAAAAAAAAAATTTTATAATCTTGAAAAACGATCACAAACAGGAAAAAACCCACTCGTATCTTATATGGAATTATTCAGAATTGCATTTGGAATAAGCCTATGTCTTGAGAGGCACTTTTTGTGCAATTTTATCAAAAAGTAGTGATTTTGGTGAGAAAAAAATATTTTGACAATTTAGATCTAGCACTCAAAAATATTGATTTCTCAATAACAGTGCATTGGCAATATGAACCCAATCGTATCAATATTATAAAAAAGAGTCCAACATTTTTTTAGTGGGCAAAATGATAGATTTTGTTGTGTAAAATTACTAAGACTGGTGTCCGGGCTATAATTTTGGCATCGCGATAAAACAAAGTCGAATAAACTACGAAATCGCGTTTCAAAACTGAATCTAAATTTCCGATGTTCTGGAAATACTTGACCTGGAAGTCAACATTATATTATGACCTTTATTTTAACATGGATATGTGGATTGGAATAGAATCTAAGCTAAAATTGAAGATCGGTTCTCGAGCCGCCGGGGGCGGCTTAGTGTACTGACGGCACTTGAGCCGCGCCGCCCCCCACGGCTCGGCGTAGCGAATGAGTTAAAAATAATAGCCTTTTAACTGAAAGCTGTTTCATGAAATAACGTTAGTAATATTTTTAGTGTAATGTTAGAATTTTGGCATTTGTTTACAACACAAAAAACATGTGCTATCCCTTGCAGAACCCACGATTATATTTTTAAGGAACGCAGTGCCTTGACCCTAGGCATATTTTTTTTCTTAATTTTGATTGGTTTTAAAATAAAGTAAAATTTTCCATTACAGAACCAATAAATTAATACTGTAGCAACAAAAGCTGACTTTATTTGCTCAAAAGATATGGTTTTCCCCCAAATCAACAATAGTCGCCTCCCGCGCTCGAGAGCTGGCCCACCCGCTGGCAATTTTAGTCACAGTAACAGGAGTCCTGTGATGCCCAAAATGAAAAAACCGGGTGAGAATAGTAGGCTGTCGTCAATTTTATTCTCACCCCGTGTGAGAATAATATCCAGTTTATCCTCACCCCTGGTGAGAATAATCACTTGTGTTAAAGAATACTCAAAAGTTTTGATTTTTTACTTTTTATTTTATAAAATGCGTTTTTATACAAAATTAGCCTACACACACGTCTTTTTATTTATATCTCTGAGGGGGGTAAACTCCCACTGCCACTAGTTTTTGCAGGATGACTAAATGCAAAAATATTTATAAGTTAATGCCAAGATCGATCAGTCTTGTTATTTCGCAGTACCTTTTGACGGTATTTTCAAATGAAGTATAGTATAGTCCGGGAACGTTGCCCCAACCACAACTGAAGTATCTGATTCAGACATTTAAAAATCTCTAGCTCTAGAAATTGAATTCGATGCAAAAAAAATGCTTCTCTTCCCAGTCCTCGCAGAATGGCAGAGAATGAAAGGTGACGCCTAAATCTCGCAAATAACCAAAAATTAAAACAGAGTGTTTACGTACTCGGTAACCTGGCACGTAGTCTCAGTATCTACACACACGGTAACCGGGCACCTAGTCTCACCAAGACTCAGTTTCTACGTACACGGTAACCGGGCACATAGTCTCAGTATCTATGTGTACACGGTTACCGGAACGAAAATAAATCAATATTTGTCCTGTGCTGCCACTTGCTGAAAAAAAAAGAAAGTCATACTAGCGTCTTGTCGAGCTCGCCATGGTGACCGGTCAATGAACCTGCACGTGTGCATCACATTGTGAGTACCGGTTGGTGTCACCAAAGTTCATTCAAAGTCTTTGCGCTGCGAAGTATAGGGCTTCGGGATGGGGGATTATTGATTTTTTTTAAGGCACAGTCGGGGGAGGGGATGGGCATGAAGGCAACAACGGATGACAAAAACTGAACTTGGAGTCTGAACTGCCCAGTTACCCTCCTACTTGACACTGAGACTACATGCCCGGTTGCCGGTTACCGTGTACGTAGATATTGAGGCTACATGCCCGGTACGTAGATACTCCGAAATTAAATAATATCGAGAACGGAAACCGTTTGGATAAATAGAGTTCAAGTTTATTTTCCCGAACGTTCGCAGAAATAGTCACTTCGTTTTTTGTATCGAAGTCAATTTCTGGAGCTAGATCTAGATCTAGAGATTTTTAAGTGTCTGAATATTCAGATACTTCAATTGTGGTTCGGGCAACGTTCCCGGACTATACTTCATTTGAAAATGCCTTCAAAAGGTACTGCGAGAAAACAAGAGCTCGACATTGGCAGAAACCTATTTTGTATTTAGTCACACCTGAAAAAAAGACTAAAATCCTTTATATGTAGACCCCCAAAAAATGAAATCCCTTCACGCCCTGCCCCGTTCACTCCTTGCACACACACACACACCCACACGTGCGTGCTCGGGCCACTCCATTCGCAAATTATCAACAAATCTCGAGAACGGAATCCGTTCGGAGAAATAGAGTTCAATTTTATTTTTCCGAGCGTTAGGAAAAATAGAGCCAGCTTAGATCAAAACAAGTGAACCTATTCTGGTGAGGAGGAGTTATTCTAATTCTAATCATGTATGAAATCCTGATAAAAGTAAAATAGACCTCTCACTGTCTTCGGCAATTGCCAAAAGAAATAACCCATGTCTTGCTATTCTCACCCCCTCGTTTTACCGGAAATGACTATCAGGGCTGAGGTTAGCGGGCATGACCCTGGCCCTGGGGGGGGATCTGGGCTGATGCTCCACAGCATCATGTTCGTCACTGTTCGTGTCCGAATAGTCACAGTCAGGGTTGTCAGTTTGTTGGAGCCAAATCCCAGAAATTTGGCTCTTTTCGATCGTGTCTGGCCCGGAGAATTTAATTTGGCTCCAAATATTCAAGAAGAAAGGGAATGGAGAGGCAAGAAAAAAAAGTAAAAGAAAGAATTTTTAAAAAAATGAAAGTGAAGAAAAGAGCTTCGATTGCTTAAAATTATTAAACTAGTTAACGCGATTGAACACCCTCGCCCATTTTGGTCTGAATAATTTACAGCCTTTCTACCGTCGTGCAAGAGCATTTTAAATTGTCTCGTGCTTGTGTCTCGTTACGTTTGTATACGCTCTCTGTTCCTTGAACCATAATTGTGTGCAGGCAGAGAGTGAGAGGCCTGCCGGCCTGCCATCGTTAAGTGTGTAAACAACGAATGGTCTGGCCGGCGGCCGGTCCCACATCTGGCTCAGTAACGTCGGTAGTGAGCCTTTTTTTAAAACCGGAGAGGCAAAAAATGTTTTTACATTATTATCTCATGCCCACACCGGGGTGGGAGCTATTCTCACCAGGGGGGTGGGGGAGGGGAGAATAGTGAGACATGTGTTATTCTCACCCTGAAGGTGGCTTTGCTAAAAAGTTAATTTGACATCGAAGTAGTTGTAAAGGGATGTGCCCGAGCTGCTGTCAGCTGCAGCGGCTTACCAGCACAGCGGTTCCGACCGCGAACCGCTGGGAGCGGCTTGTCAGAGATAGTTTACCATTCCAGGAAATTACTGAGCTCTGCTTCTACTTCTACTCAGTCTACTAAGTTGGTCAAGTAATCCTACACACCCTGCCCTGTGCAAAAGCACAGATTTTTTCAATTCAAATTGCACACCTGTGTCATCTATCATCTGTAATGTACTGTTTGCCGAATGAGTTAAGTTGCCATGTAGACCCTAGCGTAGCCTATATGACAACATTTGATTCCACAGTCCAGCGCTTGATGTAGATCTATAGTCTATGTCAAGACTAGTTATTTATAATAGGCCTAATAATGGCTAATAAATAGTAGGGCCTATCTATCCCTTACTATTGATCAGTAGCCGAGGCCAAGGAAAAAAACAACATGTGGTGACACGCTTATATCTCTACTGATGTGTCCCCCCCCCCCCCCCCCCCCAGACACACTCACACACAGATTATGCCACATGTGCTGGCCGCCAGTCTGACCTGGACACACGCTACCGCTAAGAAGTCATGTATGAGGGTGTGCGTGCTAACAACACGTTTGTTGGTATAAAAGAAGGTGGCTGATTGGTCGCATAAATATCAAATTTAAAAGATATAATTGACTAAGTGAATGATAATGATTTGGTTCCTGATGCAGACATGCCATGGATGGTTTCCAGGAATAAATAAGGTTTGAGGAGAAAAATGAACAAACGAAGCCACGTCAGCAGAGGCTGTTCATCATGTAAACGACTACGATGAATCCGAGCTCGCTCATTTATCACAACATGTTCATTGTATCTGAGTTGTTTTTATTGATTTTTATGAATATAAGAAAAGGCAAACGGGGTATCCAACTCCTTTCATTGCATCCGAGTTAGTTGAATCCGAGTTCCAGTGGATGGACTAGACTAAAATAATTAATAAATTAGCTTTTGGTATTTTAATTTATCTTAAAATAAATTTAAGTCTGTCCACCCTGAGTAGAGTTTTCACATCTTAAAACTAAAACCCTGGTATCGTATAAGGCTAATTAGAACTTAGTGACAGGACATTTATATAAATATGCCCAACAAACTCCCCTTGAGACCGTGACTAAAGTTTTTTGCTTCAAGTTGCCCATATATTTCTTTTTGGTAGAGGTCAACATTTGCTCTTGGACAATTTCTGCAATAGATAGAATTCAAAGAAAAATTTTCATCACAACTGAATATCTCGACCACACATATATTAATCAACCAATTTCTTATTTCTTCCTCTGTGCAAGATTCAAGATTGCTGATTTCTGTTTTCACCTACATTTCTGGTCACTTGTGATTTAAATACTGGGTGCCCATTGTGGGTCAGGCCAGGTCACTTCAGCTTCACTAGTACATATTTCGCCCCCCCCCCTTCCCCGTCTCCTGTCAAATTGGACAAGAATAGAATAACTGAACGGTATGTGGAGTTGTTGCACACTAAACTTACTACAGCTCACAAAACAGCCATTTTCCTTCGAAGATGACTTCAAGTTCAAGTGCCAACTACCACATTTTGTGCTTGCTGTGTTGAGAAGTTCTTGAATTTGAATCTTACGGACATGGGAAATTATGCCGATAGCTTTCAAGATCTATCAATATCAGCTTCTTCAAATCTACACTGTCCATTACCACATTTCACATGTATGCTATACGCATCCAATTGTTTGACTTGCGACCTTGAAAAACAAAATAAAAATGTGTTTGTTTTTAAAAGTCACTATCAAATTTGGTTGAATTGTCCTACATACTACATTGGTAGCTTTTGCCCCTCTATTTAGAAAAATCTGGCTGGCCCTGAGTCAATTAAACTGAATTCGATTGGCAGTGTGCTCTGGGTTTTATTAAACCAATTGTTCCTATTCACTCTTGTGACTGGAAGGGTTGCAGTTTTCTAAGTCATGGAATCCAGTTGCTTGCATGTCAAGGTGGGTTCCTGTACAGTTTGAAGAAGAGATTCTTCTTGTAGAACAGGGTATTAAAATTAGAATGATTGTACATTTGTCCAAAGCTGTTGGATCATGTTTTCCACAGAAAATTTTCACAAAGTTATTGAATTTCTCAGAATGAATGCGTGCGGAGACAAGATGTCTGGACCTTCAGACGCTCATGCTGGAGGGAACAAGAGGAAGTTTCCTGGCCCTGCTGGCTTGTTAGTCTCATCATGTGTAAGTTGCTGACAAGTAAGGTCATCGTATTTTTTGGATGGATGAAGCTCTGAACGGAAACAGGTTTACTGTTTTGAAAGGAACCTTGAAACGTAACTTGGGAAAATGGAAGGTATACAATAAAGTGTGGATTGTGGATGAGCAGACCTAGAGCCAGTAATATTTTCATGGTACAGTGAAATCCTGTTATAATGAGAGGGAGGGGACTGGTGCAAAATGTCCGTTATAGCAGGATTCTCGTTATAAGGGATCCAGTAATAAATTCAAGGGAAACAATAAAGTAGGCTTTATCTATGAGTTTGGGGTTCTGTTTATTTCTTTTTGTTATCTCCCCTGATGATGATTTTGTTTCAACATGACCTCTAGGTCATACTTGATCAAAAGTCGAATCTTGTTTTTATCTCTAGCGCTAGCGATGTTGACAGCTCGGCGTTGGCAATCAGATAGAAAGGGCTCCAGGCTAACTCGCACGCTGTGTTGTCCCCCACCCCACCGCACCATGTCTGCACACGCTACACATTCACTCCATCCATCACAGCACTGTGACCTCTCCATCCCCACATCGGAGAAGTGAGAGGCATAGTAGGCCTAGGCCTAGATAATCTAGACTCAGACTAGGCAGACCTATCGCACGGTGCGTTCTGCTTGTCTGCGCATGCCACACCCTCCCCACTCATTCGCTCCAGTCGCTCTTCGTTGTTGACACACGTGGGCTCTCCCATTCTTTGTTTCGCTAGTTCACCAAGTTTCTCAACTTGCGAGGTTTTACATTATGTATAATTGGCCTATGCACTGTGCACAGCAGCAGCAATATTCCGCTATAACCGACTCCAGTGTTTGTCTGATTGCACTATAGCGGTATTTTATTTACAAAGATAAAGAAGAGAAAAAAAAACAGGGTTTTAGAATAGTGTCTTTATAACAGACTTCTCTTTATTTCAGGACTCGTTATAACTGGACTCCACTGTAGTTGTAATCAATGCGATTTGATTTTCAAATCTGCTGTTATTATGAATTTGCTGTTCTAACCCTTGAGCTCATAGTTTCACTTAAATTGTTTTGTTTTACTCCTCAAATTGTTCAAAAGCTGATGTTAATGTAATTGTTAACACACTAGAATTCATGAAATTTATGTGATATTTAGTATTAGATCATCAACTGTCCATTACTTCATTATAAAATGTATGTAATGTGTCAGACCTAGTTATTTTTAAAGTGAAATCGGACATCATATGTGCTATCTTTTCTGGGTGACATGAGAATGAATATAATTTATTCTTAGGGCATTGGATGAATCTTTGCCATCTCAGATGTCGATAGATGAGAGAATTTATTTTCATTTGTCACATATCTAATTGTCCTGACAGATTATGGATACGCCCTCAAAGTCTCTAAGATCTGACATACAACATGCCAGCTTCACAAGCATGAGCACAGCTGAAGTGAGGTCACGAGAGGTGAGCCACAGGCATGTGTACTTTTGAGAGAATATACACATACATCTTATACTTCATGTCTATCTTGAGAGCCTTGATTTACGTCTATCTTATTTCATTGCATATTGTATTATTATTTGACTTCAGAAAACGTTTCAGTGAATTTTGTAACTTGTTCAGTTTGTGCCTGATTTATTGATTTATCGAATGCGTCTTCATGTCTCCCTGGTTTTGAAACACATCATGTACCTGGAAGGGAGGGAGGTTGTTTTTTTTCTTTTGCATCTCATGTGGTCTGAATACCTCCAAAGCTCCAAGTGCTTTTGATTTTGTCCACAGAGAGAAAGTTTGTCTCAAGTGTCTTCGGATCTTGTTTCTTGTCCTGCATGGAAGGCATTGCTCTACGATCTGGGGACAGATGCTCAAGCCACCATTTCCAAATTCGGTATTAGGACAATGTTGTTAAAGGTTGGTGATTTTTTTAGCTTTTGGAGCATTTCAGATTTGCTGCATGCCACAGGTATGAAGTCATGTTACTTATTGACTGTATTTAACAAGCAGACTCATTATAGTGGGCCCCGGTTATGACAAGACTGCCAGGATTCAAATTGAAATCAGATCCCTATTATAGCTAAACCCTATTGCAGAAGAGGATCAAGTTTACCCACACACATACTCTGTAACTAATGATTAACAAATGAGGTCATTTTCAATGCACAGATTACCTACTGCCAATTTATCAGTAATTTTTCCTACCTTTTTTTTTCTTCTCATCTCTATCTTTCTTTTTCTAGTATCTTAGTCTCATAACAATTGACAAGAGATATTTTAAAATGCATGGGTAATACTAATAATTGCATTTATATACCGCGTTCCCATGCTCTTCGACATGCTCTGTGTACTTGACAACTTTTTGTAATTGAATAGTTGTCACTGTTAAGTAAAAGAACACACTCATAGATCTGCAGTAGATCTCGCACCCTATCCCTACTTTTCATTCAGTCATTTATTACTATTGCAAGTCTCACCATCCCTTAGGGAGACAATGTGATGATGTGGTTATGTGATAATTCTTTTAGAATAAATCTAATCTGTCCTCAGAGAAATTTGGGTTGCGCGCGCAACTTTTGCCCTCAGCGCAACTTTCGCGCAACTTTTACCATTTTCGTGAATTCGCGAAATTTAGCCAATTTCCCGCAAAATTTGGAAAAATAATAATAGAATTTCATTATAAACACCGAAATTTTCTTCCACGACTAAAAATAACAACGCCAAGGGGGACAATTCGCCCCTTTGCAATACGGGGTGCCCGCCACCGCCCAGTGACTCGGGCCGGGTCAGGTTGGGTCGGTATGATTGCCCGACTCGTGGCCTGAAAACAACGTGTTTGTTTTGAAACAACGAGTCGGACGCGATCGACTTGTGCCACGATAGCCGCTTTGCATCATCAATCTGGCGAGCAAACCGACACAATAGTCTTGTTTGGACTGAATCATCTTCTAGTCTAGCTAGATCTAGATTTAGATGACATATTATCTAGATCTAGAGTAAATCAATCGTAAACACGGTCGTCTGATTATTTAGCTTGCTTGGTTCCGTAGCACCAGGTAGATAGATCTAGATCTGGTATAAAAATTTGTGAAAGACTTTAAATCTTAGGCTAGGAGGCTAGATTCTAGATTTAGACATGGATCGATTCATCCAGAAAACCCCTAAAGGGGACGTTCAAATAATACCATCTTACGTCTGGAAAGGAGGGGGGGGGGGAGCCTTTGACATCTGTAAAAGTAAAGGGTAAGAACGGGGGGTGGGGGGGGGGGGGGGGGGGGGGGGGTTGAACCAATTTACACTTTTGTTAGGTGAAAAAATAATCAAGGAAAATATAATTTATGACAACGTAATTTTTTTTCAAAATAACATAAAAAGAGAGTTACTACACTACATGTATTCACTCAGAGTAAGTTCAAGCAGTAAGCACTGCATTGTGGCGATGGACCTCGAGTGGCAAGCACGATATATAATAATAATATGTCATCTCGCCCTTTATACTCTGGTAGATGTCTGTGCTACATGACATGTTGATCTAGTCTAATTTTAATTACACCGGTGCGGTTAAAGTCATAAAATGACGCCGTAAGTTTTTGTGGAAAAGTTCCGCTTGTACCGTATTTAATTATTATGTGTAAGCATGTTTTGCATGAATACTATAATAATTTAAAAGTAAAGCGCATAGAAGTGTGATTGTTGTAACACGGATTTGCACAATATAAATGTCATATTATTAAAAGCGAATAATATAACGTAATATTACGGGATTCGGGTGTGGGGAGGGGGGCAGGAAAGTTTAAAAGAAAGTGTAAGATTATATTTGAACAGCCCCAAAACCACCCTGGTCACTCCTGCCCAACGTCAGCGAGTTGTTTTTACCCTTTTACCTGACACACGTATTTTGTACACCATGCAACCTCCATGCAGTGGAGTTTTTTTTTTCTTTTTTTTTTCTGGTAAACATTCACATTTAACTTCTGATTTCGATCTAACAAAACTCATATTGGTTACCTTTGATTGCAATGAACATAGCAACAATGTATTCCAATAGTTCCGTGACATTGTTTTAGCTATACAATACACGTCTTGCAACTTTTCTTGCAACTTTTGCTAATTTCTCTTGCAACTTTTTGCAACTTTTTCTATTTTCAAATGCAACTTTCTCTGAGGACAGTCTAATATAGGGTTGATACCCTGGTTTAAAGCCAAATATGCGTTAAATTACAAATTCCCTGGCAAAGAGCTGGTATACGTCGTGTTATGACTGTATCCTGATATAGAAATCACATATGTTCCAATTTCCTCTCTTATTGTGCTGTAAATCCGTGCCTGTTGTTAATTTGTCGGGTGTGTTGTGCTTTTCAGGCCCAGCGAAGACTCCTGCCCAAGGGGAAGATTCCACTTATTGTGGGCCTCGTTGACAGTCTGGACATGCAGGGCCGTGATGCGCAGGTGGTGATCCGAGACTCCTCCGGTAGGCCCTGCTTCTCTTTTGCTTGTGATGCTGGAGGAGAGTACCCTCCACCACAATCTATGTGTGTGTCTTTTGCCTCAATTATGGGGATGTTGTATAACTGTATGGCTTATGGTGTGTGGTGATGATGTTGTTCTGTTTTATTGCTTATTGTGTTCAGTGATAATGATGTATAGGTTATGGTGTGTAGTAAAGATATTGTATAGCATGCATGCGCAAATGTGTCCCAGTCGTGGGCCAGAATACGCGATTTCAAGTATCTGGTGGGCCAGAGAAGGAGTAAATTGGGTGAAATCGGTTGAAATGCCCAATTTCTCAAAAGTGAGCATATATGTCAGGCAAGGATATTTCCTAAGATAAGATATTAGATCTATTTGCTTCCAGATGGGCTGCAAACTATTAATTCTGATTTTCAAGATGAAGTTTTGTTTTTAGGAATGATCAACTCACCATGGGCCATATTTGTTATTAATATTACTGGGTTGACTTACTCGAGGTTTAGACTGAAATTTTTCCCTAGCTTGATTTGGCCCATGGGCTGTAGTTTGCCCTTGCCTGATGTATAACGTATGGTAGTGAGGATAGTGTATAGTTTATGGTGTGTTATAATGATATTCAATGATTTGGGTGTTTGTTAATGATGATTTTGTAATGGTGAGTAGTGATGATGTTGCACATGTGTGGCACACTGTGTTCTGATGCTAGTTTTTCTGCTGTTTTTCAGGGAAAATGCACGGATGTCTACATCGAGATTTGTTCAAAGATTCTTTAGGTGCTATTGAAGCTGGCTGTGTGGTTGTGCTGAGGCAGGTCAGAAAAAGAAAGCTTTTATGCTTTCGTGTCATTTGTGATACTGTTGTGCAGAATTTATCCACACATTTTTTTGGGTCCTAGTTTGCTTTTGATTTGATTAACAGGATTTTCATTTTGAAGATGTGCCCTCGCCAGTGACTTTGGCAAATGTTTATAAACGTGTTGTGCTTTTGATCTTTAGTGTAGGAAAAATATGAGCGAAATGGGGTCAAAATAACTGTCAGGTGAAGTCCAATTGAACATCAGTGTAATAAGAGCCTTTATGGAATCAACACTCTCACAGTGATCACCCCCCCCTGTCAAGTGTGCACTTCCCCAGGACGCACCTATGACTTAATTAATATCATGCTGAACTGCTCTACAGATGTCCCTGGATGAAATGGCTTTCTGTCTACTTGGTCCTGTTTCTTAACTCACTGACTTCGGTTCCCGTCACAGGTACGGGGCGGGTGGCCGGTTCGTAAGTAGGGATCCCGTACCCCTGACGGGATGGACTTTGCGATTTTGTTCCGTATCTTGTGCTCCAGTCATATGTACGGGAACGGACTCCAGTGCTAGTTTTGCCACTTGTTTTGTTTCGTGCCGAGTTTGGCGGAAGTTTCGTTTTAACTTTTTAAGTAATTGAAGGTGAAGGACAGTCACCTCATCTGGGGTTGACCTTACCAGAACTCGCGGAACTCGCGCTATGTTTTTTTCTATACAGCTGGTAATAATCCGACAGTCGCGTCGAAGTAACGGTCGCATGAACAAGAATCACATAATTTCGCTGTTTTCGATACTCCTGTTCGTTTTGCCAGTTCTAGTGACTCAGGATATGATGTGTCTGATAGTTAGGACCCTGGATATGTATCCAAACACGGCCCGAGTCGTAGTTTTAGGGCTAGATCTAGCACAAGTACTGGTGTTGTTGTTCGCGTGACGAAATCACAACTTCGTTCCCTACATCTGTCTCATGTTATTCAGTGTGTGGGTCTGAATAAACGTACAGACCAGCTTTTATATTTTCTCCAAACACTCGCACATGGATACAAATCAAAACAGAACACTTTGAACTTTTATTTTTGTTGTTGTGAATTTCATTCTATCTGTCACGTCTCTGGAGATTTTTCGAAAAATCAAATTCATGCCAATTTTGAAACAATCATAAGAATTAAAGTATTAGACCTAGACGACTTAAATTTTTTGCAATAGATTAAGTGTGAAAGTGACTTCACTGTTTCAAAAAATAATTACAATAGGGTAATTCTGAGAGTTGTGGTGGCCAGTACTCAGCGCTAGTGACTGGTGAAAGGGGCCAGTAGTCAGTGAGTTAAAAGGTTTTACAGTGTTAACAGAGTGTTTACACCTATGTCCTTTCTTACACTTTCCCATTATTGTTATGAAGTCTACTCTGTGGTCAGTGATAAGTATGGAATCTACACTCCTTCAGGCTGCTCTGATTACTCAGTTATTATCATGTTGAATCCCCAACAGGGCATTTTTGAACTTAGGTTATTTGAAGATTTTTTAAGGCTTTCCACTTACTTAGCTTGGTTTAAATGGTGATGGAGGACCTTCCCCTTAAATAACTTTACTGTAAATGAAGCTGTGTTAACCCCACACCATACTGGACACTCTCCAAGTGGTCTTTCTTTGCACCTATATGAAATCTACTCTTGCCTGGTGGTCAGTCATAATTACCTTTATGGAATTCTCTGTGTCCCAGTTCTAATAGTCTTAATGTATGGTCATGTTTGAAAGTTGTGCGTGGCTGAGGTATACATGATGACTTTCTAAGAGTGTCTTTTCCTTAAGAAGTGTCTATATGTAGAATATTTTTTTGTTTTGTTTTGCAGGTGAGTGTTATCAACCCATCCCCTCGCACGTTCTACCTAAACATCACCCCTGGCAACGTGGTTTTTGTCTATGCTCCTGACAGCGAAGGGGCCCGTGTTGATAAGACCCTGTGGGAAGGTTCTCCTTTGAGAACGGTAGACTCAAATGCTTCAGATTCTGACAGCAGTAAGAAATGTTCGCTTGTGGAGCTTGTTAGAGAATGTGAGAAAGAACTGAGAGACTCACCCAGTCTTCCGCTCCGGTCTAGACAATGTACGCCAGCCTCATCCTCCTCCTCATTCCAGTCTTCCCCAATGTTCCACCCTCGAAACAAAGACAACCATTCATCTCCATTCAGGTCTCCTATGTTTCTGCCAAGAAAGGAAACACCCTCATTGCTCATGTCAAGTTCTCCAAAATCACCTGCGGTTCCCTGCCCAAGATTTCCTCTTGTGGCCAAAGAAGCAAGTGTTGCTGCAAAGTCTTTATCCTCTCTGATTACATCTTCCGTTACTCCGTGGCACAGAACTGGTTCCCCTGTCACTGCTCCCCGTGGTGTTCCTTTGTCTGCGGGTCTGCCCAGCTGTGATGCGGATGTCTCGTCTTTCCTAGAGGACAATGATGATGAGGAGCTACTGCTGCTTTGTGACAGCCCCGTCGTGGATGCTGCTGCTGCTGCTGCTATTACTACCACCACTGAAAAGAGCCACGTAGCTGCAGCCCGCGACAGTGCTGTTGTCTCTTCTTGTAGCTATGGCTCTGGTTCAAGACTGGATTCCTCTGCTCTATCATTGATTTCGTGTGTGTCAAACTCGGTGAGAACGTCCATCTCTACTGGCTTGGGTACAATGTTGTCGACAGGTGCAGGCCGTGCTGACCTCAGGTTCCCTGTAAAGGAACCGCACAGAGAGGAGATGACACTCAAGTCCCCCACCACCTGTGGTGCAGACATCGTCACCAGTGCCTATCCTCCCAAAGAGTTTCAACAGTCTTTATCGCTACATGGGAAAGCTTGTGGAGAGTTGTCTGCTCGTGGAGGCCCGGGCTCTAACGTGACTGGGCTCTTGAAGTCTTCGCTGCAGACAGCTGTGGGGGGAGACTCGGAGGACATGAAGCGAGATGGGAGGGTGGAGCTGGGAAAAGATGTACAATGGTCTGTGGCCCTCAAGACGTCTGCTCCTGCCGGTGAGGACTTCTGGGACAATGGTATGGATTTATAAGAATTTGTTCCCTTTTTTTTAAAAGAACGTATGGGGTCAGAAAAAAACAAAACAAGACAAACTCAGGCAGACTGACTGGAATGGAACAAATTGATCTGTATTAACAAAGTAATGCATGGGGATGCGAGGGTGATAAATTACTTTTCCTAGGAAATGAATTAGGAGGTATAGGAAAAAGTAACAAGTGCTTTTCTCAGGTAAAAGAAAAAGTACCATTCAGAAGCTAAATAAATAGAGCACAACTTATTGGGCAGTGCTAGAAAAGCAGTGAAATATTTTTGGGCCCGAAATATTAGTCATCCTTGCAGCTTGGTTCATCCTATGGGGGCAAGGATTTCATTTCATGTGCTGCAGGGAAACTTCTAAAAATGAAGCAAAAGTAGAACTTTCACAAGTATGAGGTCTGCCTCGAAAGTAACTTTCCTCGTTCTGTAAAATCAACCTTTTTTATTTTACAGACATGCATGAAATTTTAAACAGAAACATGTCCTCTGTGCAATACACATAGCTGCCACTTTCCCGCTAAATAGCGGAAACTCCGCTTCATCTAGCTTTTCCCGCAACTTTCCTCCTTCCTCTGCTGGACCGCTTTTGGTCGCAAATTTCATACTTTTTTTTTCCCCGCGGAAAACACCGAACCAGAAGAGAGACGAAAACGCGGCTTGCGCATGTCCGCCCGTAGCTTTCTACTTCCGTTCTTCTAGGCCCAGCGCTAGTTTCACATTGTTTATTGTTGTGGAGCAGCACAGTGTCGATCGGGCATCGGGACGTTAGCGCGCCGAGTTGTCATTGAAATTGGCGGATATTCGAGAGAAATTGTTTCAGAATGCAAAAATAAAAGGAGCTGGAATGAGAAAGAAGCAGCCAGTGTGCGACTTGAAAAGTTCATTAGAAAATTGAACTAGCAGTTTTTTGCGAAAGAAATCGCGCCCCGCGGCTCTCCTGTACAATTGCGGTCACGATTGTTTACATGACGGCTGTTGTGGCTGCTGCGGAAGTGAATCTAGATCTAGAAAATCTATCTCTAGATATAATCTAGATCTACACATATTTAGATATATGTCTAGATCTAGATTAGATAGCCTAGGCTATAATTTTAATTCAGTTTAGATCTCTAAATAAGAAACACACTACAGGGGCACTAAGTGCAAACGGGACCGCAATTGGACAGGAGTGCCTGCATCCTTGATCCGATACTGCTCTACGTCTATGTATGTACTAGTTTAAAGTGAAAGAAATCTCTTTATGAGACACCAGCTGGCAAAAAACACTGGATTTTTAGTCACAAAGTCCAAACTGTGTCAAATTGACTCGAATGCTTGTTAGTCAACTTACTGCCTTTATGGGGTTTTTTTTTTTTTTTTGTCAAATACATTTTAATTCAGTTGCCTATGGTTAACAATATGACAGTTTTCCCTTCCAAAACTGTAGGCTAGATTTCCCAGTATAATATATTGCCTCTGGATCTCACTGGTTTCGGAGAGCGCGCGTACGCCTTCGCGTGAATTTCCTCCTTTTTAAAAATTTCTGAGTGGCAGCTATGAATACAAAAACTGTTGATCTCAATGTAATTTTTCATCTGATTCAAATCAGGTTCTGCGCGAGCCACTTTGCTTATTTTGATACGCTGATTCCGAAGATGAAATAAATTTTTAGCGGTGCTAATTATTTTAAAAATTCTGCATGCTAAGTTTAATCCCGCACGGCGGCAAACTTCAAAGGGATTTTGCGTCACAGCTTACCTCTCCCAATTCTATCCGGAGTGGGGCGGGGACTCAAAACACTTTCTCCACTTGTATATATCTCCCTTGTCTGATCCAGGCTTGACTACGGCCTTCAAGTCTACGAATCGGCAAAACCTCACATCCTAAAAATGCTAGACCCAGTGCAAAACCAAGGAATCCGCCTCGCTCTGGGGGCTTTCCACTCATCTCCGATGGAGAGCCTCCAGGCCGAGGCAAACTTACCATCACTTGCATTCAGATGCACACAACTCTTACTACAATACGCAATTAAACAGAGCTCAACACCAGAGAACTCAGCACCCGACTGCATTTTCAAAACAAACCCAGACACAATAAACAAATTCCTGAACAATGAAAAACTCATCAAACCCTTTCGGCCTCAGAATCCCTGAGGACCTCAAAAACATACACTTTTCCAAACAAGACATCCAACAATGTGTTTTCCCCGACCTCCCTCTGTGGCACCTCACCAAGGCAAAAGGAGACTTGCAGCTGACCACACACGACAAAGCAAGCACAAATACCAAAACATTTATAGCAAAATACCCCGGTGCGGAGCTTATCTTCACAGATGGCTCCAAACAGGAGTCTGGTGTGGGTGCCACAGCCCTATCTTCAAACAGTACACACCAGAGGAAACTCCATCCCGAAGCCTCCATTTTCTCTGCGGAGGCCACTGCCATTGACATGGCACTGGACTCTGTAGAAAATTCTCCAAACAAATCTTTCCTTATCCTTTCTGACTCTTTGTCTTGCATCACGTCACTTACGAACTACTCGCTCCTACACCCAAAAATAGTTGGTCTACAACAAAAAATACACACCTTGACTGAAACCGAGAAAAGTATCGTGTTCGCATAGATACCTAGCCATGTGGGCATCCGATTAAACGAGCAGGTAGATTACCTGGCAAAGGTATCCTTATCCCTTCTGTTGGGATCAACAACGAACACTCTCCCTCAGACTGACTTTAATAAATAAAGTCAAAAAGTACACCTCCAGTCTGTGGGAGACCCACTGGAAAAAACAAATAAATAATAAACTTCACAACAATAAACCCAAACTGGGACCGCGAAACCCTTCGGGCCTCTCCACAAAAGACGGAGTCATTTTTACATGATTACGCATTGGACATACGGCCCTGACACATAAATACCTCCTTCAGGGAGATTAAAAAGCCATTCTGTTGCGGATGCGACTCAGATTTTACCATTAGACACATTTTAACCGAATGTCTAGACTTCTGAGAGACCTGAAGGAAATATTTTAGATGCAAAAAATTTCAAGATCTGTTTTTCATCGTTGTTCCCAACAGAATTTTGGATTTTATGGTGGCCATTGGCCTTTTATGGGAAATTATAAAATTAAATTAAATTATAAAAAATGTTTCTGTAATTTAGGAAAGTTGTTTTAGATTGAAAATATATTGACACAAAATTTAGTATTTTAACATTTTAAAATCTAACTATTGACACGAGCCCAGCCGTACAGCCGCGCGCTCATATGACCTTATGCAGTTGCAAGCACAGTAAAACCCCGTACTAAACTAAAAACTCCCAATCCTGATTTTGCGGCGTTTGTGGTTGGGGGGGGGGGGGGGGGGGATTGCGGGCGGCGCTGATCGTGATGCGAGACGCACAGTATGTGACCTCACCTCCTGGTGTCACTCCCAGTACCGGTATGAGTACTGGCGGTTCTCGACACCCAGTTCCGGGAAAGGACCGGCACTGGGTTTCACTGGTACCGCCCAGCACTGCTTCCCAGTGCCAGGAGTCCAGAAGTTCAGTGATCTCTCAAGCAGTGTGCACAAGCATGTTGTCATGACAAAAGACTTCTTGCTGAAGCAGACCTGGTTGCTTTCTTCTGACTGCTGGCCTTAACTTTGTTTGAAGAACCATCTTAATAATACAGTAGTCTCCGCCTAAGATCCCGGTGCTCGGGAACAAGGAAATGCGGGATCTTAGACGAATGGCCAGGGGGAAGAATCCACAGTAACTCATGGTCAGGTCCAACATCTGTACAATGATTACCCCTTACTTTAAAATGAACTGACGTGACTCCTGGGCTCTAAAAGTTTTTTTCAGAAGTCAGTATTTCCTTTTTTTGTTTTTGTTTGGGGGCGGGAGTGGGGCTTTTTTAAAAGGAAATACTGTGTCGGGTAGGAACCAGTTAGCTTTGAGCAATTCCCCCCCCACCAAAAATGTATTGCTTTCCATCTCTAACGGAGTTCCCTGCCCATGTCATGATGCATCATAAATCATTGTGTTGTGACCACACCGACCAAATTTTTAAAAAATGAAAGGCAGGTTCACTGCCAACAAATGGCCCCATTACGCTGAGGCGATCAGACAGTCCACGATTGTGGGTGCCAATCTGTCTAGGAAGTTAGAGCGCAAAACTGAAAGACGTGAGCGATGGTCGGGAAAACGTAAGCGTCTACGTGTTCACGATTTGATCGAATACAGTCTGACGCTTATTTGTAGGCCCTCCACACCTAGTGTGTGATGTAAGATCAGGTGGACGGCTCAGGTGATCGGGGAAAGCAAGGCATCGACAGCATTCATGAGAGTGGATGATCCGTGACGCGACGGACCTTACAATGATTGCACATTTTCGCTACTTGGTTGATCAGCTGAGCGCGCACAGGTTTCTTTTTCTTTTTGTTCTTAAATAAAGAAGACAAAAACTAAATTATGACCTGAAAAGCGGGATCTTAACCGAATGTAGCTCCTTCAGTGCGGGATCTTCGAGGAACCGGGCCCTTAAGCAGTGGGATCTTAGGCGGAGATAACTGTACTAATAAATAGCTTTTATGCTGCTCATTTCCATTTTCTAAAAATGTTCAATGCGCATTACATTTATAAAAATATCACACCTTAAAAATTAATGGACATATGTGTACCTAAAACATAGTATTATGCTATATATGTTTATTTGTATAAACATTTCTATGAGAAAAATAGTCGTGCATTGAGCCTGGCAATGCATTCGCTAAAAATATAGAATGCAACAAAGACTCACGAATGGTCTTGTGCCAGTTAGCATTGACCATTATGCCAGTGGGGACTAGCCAGTTTAAAACACATGGGGATAACTTGAGAATGACAGATGTACGCCATTGGCCGATATTTTTAGTAACAGCCATCTTGTTTGACGTCATTGAGGGATTCCCACTTTGTTGTCGTTCACGGTGGCAACACGACTGCAAAGCTCTATTGCAGTATTTTTAAAGCCTGTAGCCTACAGTGGGATGGTGGCGGAGTGGTTAGTGCGCATGTTTCTAAAGCAGAAAGTCCAGGTTCGAGCCTCGGTTCGGCCACAGATTTTTTTTTCCGCCCCCCTCCTGCCCACCCACCTGTAATGGGTACCTGACTTCGAGTTGGGAAAGTAAAAGCAGGACTAATTTTTAAAAAGTATATAAGTATGAGAAAACTGAAAAAGCATGTGATGTCGTGACTTTGATGGATTTAAAAAACATGGGGGGGGAAATCCGTGGCTTAACTGAGGCTTGAACCTGGACTTTCCGCTTTGGAGACAAGCGCACTAACCACTCCGTCACCACGCCACTGTAGGCTACAGGCTTTAAAAACACTGCAATAGTGCTCTGCAGTGGAGTTGCCACCGTGAACGACAACAAAGTGGGAATCCCTCAATGACGTCAAACAAGATGGCTATTGCTATAAATATCGGCCAATGGCGTACATCTGTCGTTCTCAAGTTATCCACATGTGTTTAAAACCGCACTGTTATGATTGAAAAACATGGTGTGCATCACATTCAAAGCTCCTTGCTTGCCACAAGCTTTCTTGGCTTGTAGCGATCCTGGGTTTCTCTAGTCTGCTGATTATCTTTTCTGTTCTGAATCCCATGAATACGCCCTTGTTTTGTCACCTGTTATATTTCTTCTATAAAAAAAAATATTGTATATCCTTTTATTCCATGCTCATGCGACTTTCGTTTGGTCCCCAAAATAAAAAATAGTATCCCCACCAGGGCAGTGCAACTGAATGAAGTTGTCTTTCGGCCATTCCCAAAGGGGGGATAATAACATGTTCTTATGCACAGTAGAAATGTAAATTGGCTGTTATCCATGTCATGCTCATACTGTGCCGGAACAACATAGGGGGAACTGCTGCTTTTTCTTTCCACATCCTCACTATCGTCATTTTTCTTCTACTTCTTTGGTATGTTTGTCACTCTCTTGTTAACTGCAATTTCCGGGGTGCCTTGATAGTCGAAGCAGACTTTATGCTGTTGAGGCTTAAAAGGTGAGCAGAGTAAGCCTAATTCCCCGTTTGGACTTCTCTGTGGCATCCTCCCCTTGACGCTCATATGACCTCATGCAGTTACGAGTACTGTTATACCTTACTAAAATAAAGAAAAATGGTTCTGCGATTTCAAGATGAGGACATTGTGCTTGAAACAAAATAGTGCGCCAAAGACTCCAGTAAAATGCTTGACCGTTGGGTATTTAAGATGGAAAAGTGCTTTGAGATCAACGATTGTTATGTTGAATTGAAAACATGTTTCTGTAGGTATGTTGTACAAAAACTGTTGCTTTTACATAAGAGGGAAACTTAATTTTGGGACAGACCTCGTTGAACATTATTCCATTATAATAATAAATAATAAATAGCATTTGTATAGCGCATATCCCCGCTCAACAGCAGGCTCTATGCGCTTTACACTATATTATTACCCCAGCAGACCATAGAACACTCCGAAACATTCTCAACTTCCCGGGAAGCATACAGTGCAAGCAGCTGATTAAGCGCTCAAACACTAACAAACTGACAAGATCTTTCGCTGTCTATAGCCGGGTACCCATTCCCACCTGGGTGAAGTGAGGAAAATTCGTGTAAAGTGCCTTTCCCAAGGACACAACGTCGAACCCCTGATGGGATTCGAACCCATGACCTTACGGTTGCGAGTCCGAGAGCCTAACCACTAGGCCACCGACGCCACCATTGCAACGCATTGTTGAAAGTGGCACACAAAGTCGTCGTTTATAAATCGTTGTCTTGCACTTTTCTAATAACACACAAACACCTTTCTGGAAAAACAATGGTGAATGCATTGCTTACGTCTCACTCAGATCAAACTCACTGCTTGTATAACACTGTTTAACTCATTTGATACACTGAGTAACTCTTGGCGTTTTTTTTATTCTCCAGAACTTTCGGAGGAACTATTGTCTCAGCTGTCTGAAGACTTTTGATGGAAGATGATGAGAAGAAATGCTAGTGAGAAAAGGTTTTTTTAAACTCACTTTGTATCCATATCCAGCCTCTGTTGATGGAACGCCTCTCTTAACTGAGTCAAAACCACTGTTGGATGGACACGTCTGAGTTATTTTGCTCCAAAGCGTTTTGTAGCTAATGCTTTGAGAATTGCACTGTATGCAAGTTTGTGGGATTCGTGTGCTTCTTTTTGTAAAAAAAATGGACTCAGACTGACAAAGTTAATGTTCACCCATAACATGAGTGTTGGATTCATCTTTCAGCTTTGCATTTATATAAATATATTTACCTAATGCTAGGGCCCTGTTCTGAAAATCACCCCACGTCCCAAAGAGAAAAGGCTCAGCTTTCGAAGAACTATCCATTTAAAAACACATTTCTGTATGGATTTCCAAGGATACACAAGTTTTGGAAGTCACCAAACTTTGGCGGCCATTATATGCTTATTTGTGTCACGACACGATGGAATCAGGCGCTCGTAAATTTTTGGGCAAATGGAGTTATTGGTATCAACTTAAAGGTTATTCAGTTGCCTTGCTTTCGATGAAAAAAATATCCATTATACTGAATAGAAGTCGAGATATTTGCGATTAAAGGGGGTGGGGTCGCCTTTGTTTCAGAAGTAAAATTAGAGAGAAAATGGTCGCCAAAGTTTGGTGACTTCAACTTCAATAGCTTTAGAGTCCTTGGAAACTGCAAACATATACAATTTTTGTGCCATTAATCAACGTTTTCCATAAAATCCACACATAAAAGTTTTTCGTATGGACATACAAGTTGTTGAGCCAAAAAGATAAAATTCGAAAAAAGTGTCCAAATTGGCCGAAAAATGCTGATTTTTCAGATTTCAGTATTTTGACGGGCGCCGGATCTCACCTCTTTGCATCACATTTTACTTGACACAAGCTGCAAAATGTAGGATTAAGTTTCAGTTGAAATAACAGGCAATGTTTCAAGGACAATCCCTATTTTCTGGTTGGTCAAGGATGGTTCACCGACATCTGAGGTGTAGTCACTTCGCTGTTGCACTCAGGAGACCTGAGTTCGATTCCTAAGTGGGGAGAAAATTTTTATTATCTTGGTCTTTCTGTTGGCATGTTGTATCCCTTTCAGCCCAGGTTGGCCGGCCTCCTAAATGATCTAGATTTTAAAGAAACAAAAGGATGGTATGGTCCTCTGATCAGTTCTTGTTCTGTCTTCATGTTTTTCTTCATCCTCACCATCTGACTCAACATATCTAAATCGTCGTTAGTATCAGACTTCTCCATCTGGCTTTAGGTAATTTAATCCTTCGCTTAATTGTTACATTATGATAACCATAATATATAGGTAGAAGATAGCCATTATGGAAGAAATCTATAATAATAATAATATCTAGTTTCAGGCTTAACCAGGGGTATTCAAGTTTAAGCAATCAGTGAAAAATGTGACAGATTCAAACAATTGTAAATTTCTTTCTAGGAAAATAAAAATATCTGTAGAATCCAGAAAATCTCATCAAACCAAAAAACATTATAAAGCTGACTACTTTTACAATTATTATGGTCTGTTTGTCATTTGATGAGTGGGTTTTTCCTTTCTTACTGGCTCAACTTGTACGACTTTCTTTCGTAAAATAAACCTAATACGAAAGATTTTATATTTTTGTATGAGAGATCGAGCTGAGAGTGAGAGAAAAAGAGAGACGACAACTAGATGCAAACAGGTCATTCAGGATGATACTGACTTGCCTTGTGGTTAGAGCAAAGGAATTATAGGAGAGAGGAAAGGGCAGAGATGTGATGTAACAGTAACACTGTAACATGTGTCGCAGACATTCATCTGGCATAGATTTTTAAATGTGATTTTCACTTTACAAAACACAGTACCCTTTTTTTTTTTTGCGGCATTGACCGAAGATGCATTTATTTGTATGTCATCTATCTATGTTTCATTTGTATGTCTATTGGAGTTTAATGTCCAACCAGATTTGTTACATTGTATGCATGTTAAAATTCACAAGTCTACTATTAATAAATAGGCCTATTATTAGACACTTTCTGTGGCTGTGATAGTGGGGAGGGGGAAACTATTCAGAATGCCGTTTTAATTGACGCAAAAAGGTAATCTTGAAGTTGAACTCACACCCACACTTCTATGTTTTTTGGGTCTATGTTTTGTCGACTGGAACTTCAATAAGGAGTGTGATTTTTAAAAGGGGTAATAGTGATGGTATGGAGAAAAGATGTCACTTGCACATCAATGAAGTTGTGATGTAAAGGTGTCTGTCCCTGCACAAAGAGAGAATATGTGCTCTACGTATGAGAAAACAACTTTGTACATTATACGGCTGACTCAGGCTTCTTTTTGAGCTTATCATGAAGTCAAATTAAACCATGTCGTTCTCTTACACCATTGAAACTGTTGTGTTATAATCTATCTTTTCAATTTCCAGTTCTTTTTTTTTTTTTTCTTCCCGAATGTCTCTTTTCTTGCTGTTTTGATACATGTACATTTAATATAGTGCCATCCAAATGAAACTTGGAAATGTAATCACCCAAACGTCGTATAATACTGTTAATTAAAATTGTACTGCCAACTTATACAGCATACTACTTTTAAAAAATTATTTTCCTCCACACTGAAGTTTTGCGCTTCAAATTTGTACACAACATTTGGAAGTCAAATGGAATTTGATATTCATTTTAGAAAAATTTATAGAATACTCAGAATCTCATGGACAGAGAGGAAAACCAATAGAGAAGTGCTCCAAATGGCAGGGGAAGATCCACAGTCAGAACCGTCAGAAAATGAAAAAGACAACTGAGCTACGTAAATAGACCAAATAGACTAGAGAAACTGCTGCTGTCTGGAAAGATGGAGGGAAAGAAGATCAGAGGAAGACAAATAATTAACAGCACACACAGATGGCCTGAACAACTTTGCAACGAATACACAAAGTCACAAAGAGAAAAAACAGAGCTGACCAAGAAGACAGACAACAGGAAGAAATTCAATTGCTTCAATTCTATTACGATCATAATTGGGTACACGTACTACGATCGTCAATGTCTGTTCCAGACCTGACACCTGAGCCTAAAGAAGAAGATGGGCTTTGGAAGTCATTGCACTGGATTTGAGCGAGACGATTCTTCATTCACTCAGTCAGTGTCGTCCATAGTAGCTATCTTTTGGTAGTATGCATTATACTCGGCTCATACATGTATTAATTTTACAAGTCATAGCTAGTCTAAGACAGTATGAGTTTTTTTTTTTTTAAAGGACCGTAAAATTTCGATGTACAAACGTTTTTATTGCATGTTACTGCAACTTGTAAGCTAATAAATACAGACTTGAACAGGGAGTCAATACATCATGTATAGCTGTAAAAGCAAGTATATTGTGTCCTGTTGACAGTTCTTTTATAGGTCTTTTAAGAACAATCCTTGGAGCGTAGTCCTGAAGCCTTTGTAGTTTATTCATTAGTCCTGTTGGTATGTGCATGAGGAGTCTGTTGTAATAATAGTCAATACAAGATAATCGAAATGATGACATCGGTGTTTTAAAAGTAAAAGATGTCTCGCTTAAAAAAGAGGTGTCTTACTTGTCCACTGTGTTGGGGTCACTGCAGTCGGAACATCATGTCCATCTCTGCTCTCTCCTCCTCTCCAGGATACATCCCAGAGTCTGTCTGCTTATAGTCTCCATCATAATCTGGTTTGAGATCCGTCGGACTGGTCCGCACAAGTGGCTGTGTTTCCGTTCTCCTCTTTGGATCCCCTTCTCCTTCAATCTACCTAGAGTGTGAGAACCGCTATCCGCTTTCTCTTACAACTTACGGTACAACGGTTAGAACGGTTGGTGGGTCCAGTGTCAAACTCCCTCCCACTTTTGCTTCACCAGCCAGCTTGTCTGCTCTCTCGTTGCTGGTTACCCCCGCATGGCCCGGGCAGAAGATCCAGGCCATTCTTTCCAGGCTGCTCTCCCTGATCGTAGCCTTCCAGCTCGCATACAGCATCCCTTTCTGAACCTTCTGTAGTGCGCTCATACTCATAGTAATGATTACTCTTCGCTGATGGCTTGTGTTCTTGATCCAGTGCTGAGCCTCACTTATGGCTTTTATCTCCATAAATGTATACTTGATGTTGTCAGTGCAGTTGCTCCAACTTGCTCTTTCACTACTATCCCATCAACTCTGACACTGAAGGCCCAGCCCGATTTGACTCCTCTGTTGACTGATCCATACGTGAAGATCACAGCATCTCCATGTTCGCTATGCTCTTGTATAAGGGGGTTTCAATTTCAGTGTTTGTAGCTCCAACTCCAAGTGGCCAGTTTCGACCTTCTCTACCCAATGTTGCCTTCACTGTTGTGTACTCTCCGGGCACATCTTCGACCACGACCCAATCCCTGCCTCTCCTAGTGAAGTGTTTTGTATCTGGCAGCACTCGTTGATGGTGTCCGTGGCTTGAGTCATACATTCTGTGCCCCTCTTTAGCCTTGATGTCATCTGCCGTCCCACTTTCTTATGCAGAGGGTTCGTCTCGTCTGCGCTGACTCACAGAAAGGCTTGGACTTGTGCCAGTTTGTGCCTCTCGTCTGCACATGGGAAGTCTAGGAAGTAGCCTACATGAACCTCATTGCTTCAGCTGAGGTGTCTCGTGTGCACCCCAGGATTGCCCTCATGCCTTCATTTTGTAACATCCCGAGTCGTTGCAGTTACGCCTTTGATAGGGTCAAGAGTCTGAGCCCGTACTCCTCGACAGAGAGTACCAGTGTCTGGTCTGGTAGAGGATGACAAGGATTTTCTGGCTCATCTTAGCTCTGACCATCATCTTAAGGGCTGTTAGGCCTTTTCTCGCCCTGGAGATTGTTCCTGTGATGTGATCTTTGCCAGAGAGGGTGCGATCAAACGTGATGCCCAAGTACTTCAGTGTGGGTTCTAAAAAGAGGTGTCATTTGTGCAACTCTTCGGACTCCTAAATTTTTGGCATTTGCTTAAAAAATCACTTTTTCATTTCCAACAACCAGACGATCAGTTCCATAAAATCGTGCCCCCAAAGACTTATTTTGGTTACATAAAACTATTTAAAATTCCGTCTTCTCATTTGACCTCAGTTTGTCATATCATCCAGGCCTTGACTCCATTTAACATTTTGTCATATATATTATATATATATATATATATATATATATATATATATATATGTATTTTGAGATATTAAATAACTGGACAAAGTAGGGGATTGCTGCGTTCAACCAGAGAGGGTTTACAGTAATAGAGAGGTGACACTCGTGGCGGCGCTGCGCTTTTCCCTTTCGTCAACCCGCAGCCACCTCCGGAATCGTC